GACTGGCAGGTAACACTGTCCAGCTGTGAGTACAGAGAAAGGGTGCGAACCAGTGGCGTCACGCTGACCACTCCGCTGGACACGCCGGCCTCGGACCGTGAGCGTATGTACCAGGTTCCCGTGGGCAGTGTCATTGTGAAGGTCAACGGTCACACGGTCGACGGCGATGAGCATCGTCTCGACGAGCTGGTCGCGGCGTCTAGCACCGTCCAGCTGGTATTTCACACGCCAAAGCACCCGCCTCATCTGCCCGAGTTCATTGTGGTGCGTGTTCCAAACTACACCGAGAATCGTGGCCCAAATATCCTCGGCATCGAAGATGCCGACGATCTGGTGCCAATACGGATGGTAAAGCGCGCCCGTGACAAGGGCAAAAACAATCGGGCGATAGGCGGCGGTGAAGAGAGTCGGACCGAGTTTCGTGTTGGACCGCCGCTGGAGGGCGGCAGCGCATTCACCGGCTTTAAAGGCCAGGGCGCCACGCTGGATCGAGTGGTGGCCAAAGTGAAAGCGTGGGTAGAGACGCCCGGGTTCTGGACGGTGGTGGTGTCGCGTGTCAGACACCCACATCACCTGCACATTCCCAGTGACCAGTGGCCAACTGTCGAGGAGATTCAAGTTCAGCGTCTGAATCCAGACGTGCTGGAGGCCGAGATCTTCGAGCGCCAAATGAAAATCAATGCCGCAAAGACGTGGCGTCACTTTGTGGCTGCCGAGGATGACGGCCAGTGGAGTAGCGCCGATAATGTCATCGGAGACGCTGTCCACGTGGCTTGGAGGCGGCTGCACACACGCGACGTGGCCTCTGTTGTGTGCGACGAGCTGCATGCCAAGGGAGTGAACGTGTCTGTAAGTGACGTACAGCACGTCATCCAGAAAATGTCGCAGACGGACGAGGCACTGATCCTTGCAGATCATATATACCTCACCTCACGGCAACACTGCTGTCTTGTGCGCAGTAAAATACAGCGTGGACGACGACGACCCACAACCACCAAACCGTCTAAGCGGCCAGCCTCCACGTCTGCTGGTCGGGGCCGGCGTGGTAAGGGTCGCCGCATCTCGTAAAAGTGGACACTACGCATCGCTCATGGATTTTCCGTGTTTTAAACTGGCGCCAGATTTTGTTTCAAAAACATCAAGTTAGGTGAGGTTGAATACAGTCGTGTACTGTTGCTTCTTATTTTTGGTCCTTGCAGACATATATTATTTTAAGTAACGCCACGTTGTTTGTTTCATAGGAGCGGGGAGTGGTGTGGCCCAGTGGGCAAGAATTAAACTGGTATTAACGTAATCGGGTCACATGGGCTTGGAAGGGCACTCCTGCATGCCTGCTCGCCATGCACAGTTGACTGGTTTGGCTATTTTTGGCCATTGTTTATCAGTTTTAGTGGCGGGTTTTCGAAGGCATGGGACAAAATTATAAGCATGGAATGTTTTCTTTTTTATTCGCCGCATCGTTTCACCTTGAAACATGTGCACTAATTGTGGCCCAATTTCCCCAAGATTACATAGATTTGTACTTTGTAGTGTTTACTCAAATTGCGTTCATCACATTTTCATCAATTCAATAAGTAGGTTATTCTAAGCAAATATAAACTACTAAAAGTGCGCCTTTACACGCCACTCCGTCAGATTTTCAAAACATTTTGATAAACAGTATGCGCGACAGGCCAGATGTTGTATCATGTGGAATGACCCAAGTCTATATCGCATCACGGACATGCAAAATATACATAAATTTATCTAAAATGAAATAAACATATTTGTGGCTTTCCACGGTTGATGCTCTCTAAAATACGATGGTAATTTCAATTTATCATTTATTCAGGGTACTTCTTGGAAGCATCCCGTACATTTCTGACTTAGATAACACGGAAAATCTAGAGTGATGTCACATTGTCCAACGCAACATGCTTCACTGGCTCATGGCTGTCAGCAAAGAGAGTCCAGCTCGCTGTGGTAACGGTAAGGCACCACGCTGCCAACCGTACCGGCAATCTCTCCAATCGGTAGATTGTCCGCCATCAACATCAACGAGACTCTTCGAGACTGGGTCTCGGGACGACGTGGTACGGAATGGGCACCATGCTGTCCGCCGTACCGGCAATCTCTCCAATTGGTAGATTGTCCGCCATTAACATCAACGAGACTCTTCGAGACTGGGTCCCGGGACGACGTGGTACGGAATGGGCACCATGCTGTCCGCCGTACCGGCAATCTCTCCAATCGGTAGATTGTCCGTCATTAACATCAACGAGACTCTTCGAGACTGGGCGCCGGGACGACGTGGTACGGAATGGGCACCATGCTGTCCGCCGTACCGGCAATCTCTCCAATCGGTAGATTGTCCGCCATCAACATCAACGAGACTCTTCGAGACTGGGTCCCGGGACGACGTGGTACGGAATGGGCACCATGCTGTCCGCCGTACCGGCAATCTCTCCAATCGGTAGATTGTCCACCATCAATATCAACGAGATTCTTCGAGACTGGGCGCCGGGACGACGTAGTACGGAATGGGCACCATGCTGTCCGCCGTACCGGCAATCTCTCCAATCGGTAGATTGTCCGCCATCAACATCAACGAGACTCTTCGAGACCAGACCTGGGCCCCCGACGTGGTACGGAATGGGCACCATGCTGTCCGCCGTACCGGCAATCGGTAGATTGTCCGCCATCAACATCAACGAGAGTCTTCGAGACTGGGCTCGAAGACGACGTGGTACGGAATGGGCACCATGCTGTCCGCCGTACCGGCAATCTCTCCAATCGGTAGATTGTCCGCCATCAACATCAACGAGACTCTTCGAGACCAGACCTGGGCCCCCGACGTGGTACGGAATGGGCACCATGCTGTCCGCCGTACCGGCAATCGGTAGATTGTCCGCCATCAACATCAACGAGAGTCTTCGAGACTGGGCCCGAAGACGACGTGGTACGGAATGGGCACCATGCTGTCCGCCGTACCGGCAATCTCTCCAATCGGTAGATTGTCCGCCATCAACATCAACGAGACTCTTCGAGACCGGACCTGGGCCCCAAGGCGACGTGGTACGGAATGGGCACCATGCTGTCCGCCGTACCGGCAATCGGTAGATTGTCCGCCATCGACATCAGCGAGATTATTCGAGACATGGGCCGAAGACGACGTGGTACGGAATGGGCACCATGCTGTCCGCCGTACCGGCAATCTCTCCAATTGGTAGATTGTCCGCCATCAACACCGACGAGATTCTTCGAGACTTCGAGACCTTCGAGACCAAGGGCTTGCTAAAAATCCCAGCATATCTACTTTGGTACGGTGTGGGCACCTGGCTGTCCGCCGTACCGGCAATCTCTCCGATTGCCCGCCCTTGCTGCATAGTAAATCCCTGTTGCTGGGGAGTGTGGTGGCGTGCACACACCACACATTGAAAAGAAGATCTGCCCGTGGTTGCTTAGTCTTGCGCCTGTGCTTGTACGGCTCCACAGCTGGGCATCATCGCCGTGGTTGTGGACCGAGCTCCCACGCTAACCACGAAGGCAGGCTGGCTGGGTCGTTCGTGCGGCGACATGCGTCACCTCTTGATTCAAATAACAAATTTAAAGGGACCCTCTCACCTCGAAAAAGTTAACGAATTGGCATGAAAGAGATGTATCTTGGTTCAGAAAGAACAAACATGAATATCCACCAAATTTCACTTAAAATATTGCTCGTTTTTGTTGGGCCATAAGCAGACTGGTTATTGATTCACCTTTTTTGGATCGATTCAATCATTGATTCATTTGTTTTTTGTTTGATTCAATCACTGTTCGATTCCTTCCAAAAATTTGGTGAATCGATTCCTTTTGATTCAGAGAATAAAAAAGGAATGATTCACGTTTGATTCAGCCAAAAAGTTATTGAACGATTCTTTTTTGATTCGATTTAAAAATAAAGATAAATATCAGGGATAGTATTGTATTTGTTGTGTTCTTTTTGTTGGTATGCAACTATCATCACATGGCAGTAGTGTTAACATTTGTTGATGAACTATGTTCGCTTCATTTTTTAAAGGTTCATGAATCGTTAATTTGTTTGATTCAATCAACCCTGATTCCCAATGCGTTTGATTCAATCATGGCTTGTGAATCAAACCATCCGGACGGTGAATAAAACCTTTTTGATTCAACAAATTTTGTTTGATTCAATCCAATCGATTCAATCACGGTGAATCAAACACCAGTCTGGACATAAGACTTCAACATTTTTCCCTTTCCGGGGCCTTACCTGTTCCTATGACGTCATTTGGAAGCAATAATGTGGTATCTTGAAAGCGCGGGAAATGTCACGCGCAATTTAGTATCTATAAAACCATGGCAAAAATTGTCTTACCAAAGTTTAAGTAAAACGGTGATGTCAACATTAAGAGGGGGCATCCAAATGCATTAGCCCCTCTGAATCCAAAGTGCTGCAACTTTGAATCTAAATATTTTCGATCTAAGGCATTTCTCGATGTTGTGAGTGTCGAAACCGGTGATTTCCAGCCAAGGACCCCAATTTGGGTATCTCAACTCAAAACTAATGTTAACGTGAGAGGGTCCCTTTAAAGGGACCCTCCCACCTTGACATTAGATTTGAGTTGAGATAGCCAAAATGGGGTCCCTGGCTCACAATTACCAGTTTCGGCACTCACAACATCGAGAAATGCCTTAAATCGGAAATATTGAATTTCAAAATTGCAGCAGTTTGATTCCGAGGGGCTAATGCATAGGAATACCCCTCTGAATGTGTGACGTCATCGCAGATATCTAACGAATTTCAAATGTTTGACTAAAACGTTTTGTAGCACGTGGTGGTATATGTTGCTTTGAGCTGCCGAACTATTGCTTCCAAATAAAGTCGCTAGGAACAGCGGAGATCCCAAAAAGTAAACAAAAGTAAAAGTCCAATATCTTGAAAACCGGTGAATATTTTTCGGTGAAATTTGGTAGATATTCGTTTTCGCTCTTTCTGAACCGAGCGACATCACTTTCATGCCAATTCATAAACTTTTTTGAAGGTGGGAGGGTCCCTTTAATCGTATTTGTGTTAATTAACGTATTCTGTCAAATACCGGTGTCCTACTTTGGTGCCGTCCATTCTTAAAATCATCAGTTCACTTGCAGACGATGATTAGAAGCTTTGCTTCCAATGGAATGCACGAAGCAATGACTGCATAATGCATTCTTTGTTTTAAAAACAAAACTGTGCAATAAAATTTGCACAAAACTTGTTCGATATCTAATCTACCTTTGGTGGCTTCAGCTTACCTGACAGTTCATTTATGTATCCACATTGCTAGGAAGCATATCATCCGTCTAATCCAAACATAAACTATTCTCGTTGTTGAAACTGGTGACGCACAAGCTGACGTAACGTTAGTGGAGACTTCATCTAAAAAAACAGCCTGCATGGGCTAAAATCCCGGGGGGCGCGTATGGCTCGTATCATTTGCGAGGCACGCGACGGGAGCCTTGAGGAGCTTTCCATGCTAGAGCGCCTCTAAACCCAGGTCTCACTTGGAGATCGATCTCACTCGGAGATCACGAGTCTGTTGTAGAGTGGCGTCATTTTACGTCCAGTCCACCGAACCAGTGTGCACAATTGCTGGCGGTGGATACCAGACTCCCCCCACGGGTCGTCATGTGCGAGGCAAGGTCGGGGATAAGATATCACGGCAGCAATTGAAGATAAAATTGAGTTTATTCATGTAAATGCTATTAGGCTGCTACATTTGCACAATGAGTGAGTGCAAAGCTTCTCTTTAATTGATATTTATCATTATCCAAGCAGACTATTGCCTGATACGTCTGAGTCTACATTCACTTCATCCAGGAAAATGCTTCAAAATCGCGTTTTTCGTCGGTAAATAGCATTGCAACCTTGCGTCAGTTGACACAAGCTTTCACTGCCGCATCCGGAATCTCAGTGCATAGCTGTCTATGCATCATGAGCTTAGGTATTGTTTCCTTTTTCGTTAGATCATGCTTCAACTTGTAGCGCTTAATCGCTCATGCCACAACAAAGTTTGCGGACTTGTTAAAGGTTAAAAGAAAATATATTTCCTTCAACAGATGTCCGTCAAATGAGGCTACAAATGAGCTGTTTTCTTCTGCCAATTATGTTACTATAGCACGTTGCTAATGGAAGGCGGTCATTTGCATTTGCAGTTGTGCCTCATCATCACTTATTTGCCAAACGCAATTTCAATTGCTGCTGTTATCCCCGGCTATAGTGTCTACGGTGGCGAGCTTTCTCCGCGGACCTTCAACTTCAAGACCTTCTACTTCAAGACCTTCAACTTCTAGACAACTAAAGGGATATTCTCGTCATACTGTACTCTCGATGACCTGCATGTCGGGCGTGCCATGTCCTGAGGAGCGTTGTTTTCAATACCCTCAGTGCACATACTGCACCAGACTATATTTACGGACGTTGACTGTTTGTTTTAGGCACTGTTTCAAGCATTGTACGATGGCCGAAAACAAAAGTATTTGTTAAGGTTTTAAGTGCCATTCGGAATATCCGAAACTACGACGCAATGTTAGTCGGAAATAACGTATATAGTTAATCATGTTATCGCATGATGTTCTTGTTCATTGGCAAACATTATTTCAGCAGTCGATACGTCCTCCAAACTTCAGTAACTGTTACTATATAGTCCCCGTTCGTCACAAACAACCGTTGACATTTCGTCAACCTCAAATTCGAATATATTAACCGTTTACACGCACGAGAATATCCCTTTATCCAAACTAGCAAGTGTGTCTACTGTTTTCTTACTAGGCAAACAAAAGTTTGTCACAGCATGTGCGCAGTTCACTTTACCTATGTGCATTCATACTAAAAGCCATTCGTCCACAAGCAAGTTATTTATTTGCGCTATTGACGTAAGCTTTCATGAAGGCCAAACCAATGCTGATTCGTCAATGCTGATTGTCAGCTTGAAAGTAAAGATGAGCAAAGTGGTTCAACTGAATCTTATGGTTGCAGTAGGGCATATTAGAAGTAAGTGACAAGTATGTGTCAGCAATTGCTTATGCTTCTTAACCCTAGATACTTTTGATTCGATCCTTTTAGGTGATGACGTAATGTGGCAGAAAACAGTAGACACACTTCATCTCATCGGAAACCCTGAATGATTGGTATTTGTGAGCATGTGTGCCTGTGAGTGTGTAAGGGTGGATGTGGGTGTGTGGGTATGTATGTGCGTATGTGAGGATGTGCGTGTCATCTTACAAGTAATTTAGTGAATGAGTGCATAGGTACTAGTTTTCAAGTAAATACGTGCATGAGTGCATGTAGTCAGTGGTGTATGGAACTCGCATTGTGCCTGCCTGCTGCCAACGAAATATGCAAGCCCACACAGAGAAAACAGTTTTGTTGTGCGAAACTTCATGCTGCTGGCAGGGTTTACATGCAAGTCACATATTGTAGGTCTACCATAAGCAGAGCGATGTGACATCTGATAAGTAACTCACAGCAACACATACTCTACATGTCCAGGGAAAGTGAGTTGTGCTCGGAACAGATTGGCCAGACAGTTTTGTCCTATCAAATTCAGAATTGTTTCATCCTCCTCACAGTTGCCACTAACATCATGAGCACACATTATTGCTAGATCTGAATGCCAGCTGCCTATTGCACCGCTGGCACGTAGTTGGAGACAAAGGTGCCGCCAGTTTTCCACCTCGCTGCTGATACAATGCAATACTGCTACAAAATGTCCGTGTTCTGTGTTTTTAGTGTTGTATGTTTGTATATGAGTTTTGCGTCGTGTGAACATTACCTACATGAGTTTAAAGTGTTCCCGCGAAAGTAGGTACTGAATTAGCTCAAGCCAGCATTGCGTTGCGGATATATTTGTAGGCCATACAATGTTTTATGGCGTCATTTACGACACTTTCCTGTTTTTCTTGTCGTTGTATGCACGTGAGTTGTGCCGCATGTTGCGCTTGCAAATCATGTTCTCAATGTCATTTTCTTTTGGTACAATTGGTCACCACTACACATCACTCGCATACACTCGCCCAAGCAAGTCGGATATCAATCACTGTCCAGAAGTGCATGATGCATTCAACCACGCATAGAACACTGGCACACCAAGAACATGAACTCACGCAAAAACGAGAGGGCTATCACACGACTTCGCATTGGACACACCGCTATCACACACAACTACATCATCACAAGAAGCCCGAGACCGAAATGCAACACCTGCAACACTTTCATCACTGTCAAACATCTGCTACTCACATGTCCACAATACCAACACCACAGGACACACATACAAACATACTGCAGAGACGCCAACATCCCACTAACACTCACAACACTGCTCGGGGACTTACACCCCGAGCTAACAACACTACTCATCCACTAAAGACACAACACTGGGCTGATCAATGACCTGTAAATCTCCTCCCCTAGAGCCAAGGACAAAAAAGCCAAAAAAGCCAAAAAAGAAGCCAAAAAGAAAAAACAATATTCAAAACAATGAGAATCAAAATAAAAGACCCCAGAATGGCAAAATGGCAAAAAAAAAAACAAAAAAAATAATAATAGAAGGGGCAATCCGGCTACCCGGGAGGAGATAGCTAGGAACCCAGTCCCACCCCTCAGCCCACCCTTACGAGCCAAGAAGACGACGGACACTTCAAGACAACGGACGGACCAACAACGAAGACGGACGACAGAACCGGGCCCAAATACAGGACGCTGTGGTGGCCCGTAAGCTACAAATACCATACCATACCATACCAGTGCATCATGCAGCAGAAGAAGCTTCATTGAACACACTCGTCATCATGAACGGCATCTAGGAGCTTCATGAGTTTGGATCTGTGACCAGTAAGTGGAATGGGAGCATAATGGTACACGCTACTAAACCTGATTTTTTATAAACAAAAACATTACGTTTATTACCGTTTGGAGGTGATTTGTTTTATTCGGTCATAGTGTCAATGTCATGTTTGATCATATAGGTAACGAAAAGCGTACCTATTCAAAACGTTTATTCCTTGTCATGATGTGCCTGCAGGTTGTTTTCGCAGTATTCAATAGCAACCGTGTATGACCAGGCGCCGCTTGGACGCCTTGTCCAGCCACGTCTTCCGGGACTGTGTGATGACTGCCTCTGCAATCTCAAGTGCCAGTTTCTGCCTCCGGCCTATTTCTTTATCAAAGGATGTTGGTAACTGAACGACCAGCTCTGCTCCAAGATTCCAAATCGCTTTACGGTATTGTATGCCTACAAAACGTTAATATTTGCTGGACGCGTTGATGCCCGAATAGGATGACCTTTATTCCTAGTTACTGGCATTCAACGTTGAATCAATTACGCTTCTAGCCTTCTGTTTATTGGCTTTACGTACTTTTTATTAATATTTATCGTGTGTCTAGCCTGCAATTCATTTTACTCACCACCATCGGATGTCACAACTATACTCTTGTAACTACTATATACAACTATAAGCTATAAGCAACTATTCGCTGACTTGACATATGATATTTTCGCGACGACTCGTTTCGCCCTTCCGCCATGTTAACTAATCATCCGTTACATCTTTATGTCAACAGGTATAGTACAAGTCATCCTTACCGTCGATACCGTAGAAGATTTTGCCGTCGACCACGGAACACATATTGTACTTCCCGTTGCTGGTAATTTTTTATTTGTCACTTAGGTGACAGTTACTATAGTTCGTTTTCTTTTTAAAGTTCGGCCCTGACTGTAAACATCTTTTTGAACACAGCACGAGAATTACTGAGAAAACTGGTTAGCGCCCATTGATACCGTTGTGTTAAACGCGGTGCGATTTATTAATTAGTTCAGTTATCACTCCTGACAAATCGTCTATCCCTGTGGGGTTGTAAATATGAGCAAATACGAGCTGAGGCCTGAGGGGTCTGGGAAATAGGAGCCAGAAAGAAATAACTTTGATAAAGTTTTTCATCAGTGAAATTCAACGTGCGACAACCATTTTCCTCTTCTTAGTAATTCAGCTAGCAATTCTCGTGCTGTGTTCGAAGAGACGTTTACAGTGAGGGTCGAACTTAGGACAAACTATGGCACCTATCAGCAGATATACGTTCATAATGCAACAAGGGAACGAAAAGCGTGTTCAAAACTTTAACTCATTGTCCTTATGTGCCTGCAGGCTGATTTCGCAGTATCCAATGGCAACGTGTATGACCAGGCGCCGCTTGGACGCCTTGTCCAGTCACGTCTTCTGGGACTGTGTGATGACTGCCTCTGCACTCTCAAGTGCCAGTTTCTGCCTCCGGCCTATTTATTTATCAAAGGATGCTGTTAGCTGAACGAACAGCTCTGCTCCAAGATTCCAAACGTTTTTACGGTATTGTATGCCTACAAAACGTTAGTATTTGGTAATACTCGGATGAACTGACCTTTATGGGTGGGTATTCAACGTGGAATCAAGTAGGCTTGTAGCCCTCTGCCTATTGACTTCTAAGGGTTTTAGTAAAATTTATATAATATCTCATCTGAAATGCATTTTCACTCTCAGTCGTCGAAATTGAAAAATCATAAGCTTAGAAATCCGCGGACTTGACATATTATATTTTCTCGACGATTCGTTTCGACTTGCCGTCATGTCAGCTAATCATCCGCTGCTTCTCCTATTTTCACAGGTGCATTACCAGTCGTCTTTACCGTCGATACCGTTGAAGATTTTACCGTCGATCAGGGAGCACCCATTGCGCTGGCCGTTGCTGGCACTTTTTTATTTGTCACTAGCTATTAGTTATCTGCAGATATACATTGGCCACCTGTGCACCCGCTTACACAAGCTCTCATCATCTAGTTCTACGTATGTCTGTGTTTGTTTTAATTGAATTGCCAATGAATTCGGTAGACATGCTCCGCCCGCAAACATGTACCACATGATGCAGTCCACTGAATGTAGCAGTTAATCACTCGTAAAAAGCAGTCATGTTTTCGTAATAGTGTAGGTTTGCATCTATGTAAGCATGTGTTCACACTCATGAGCGATCCACACATGATATTGCATTTCCTGCTCAGTTGCATTTTTAGCACTGGAACACGATGCTCATACACTGCGTTCTTATCTTTCTTTTTTTTTCGCCTGCTCCTTCCTCCAACTTGTGTCTTTGAGTATTTCAGTCACATGCTCAAACGTTCTAAATGTTCTCGCCATCGGTTTACGCATGCGTTGAAAACGGACATATCTTGACCAAATTTAACAATATGCGGACAATGGATCGACTTCTTGAAGCCTGTGGACGTGATAAACCTTCTCCATCACCATCAAGAGATCAACATTTTCGAAGACACTTGCGTACGGCTGGTATGAATTCATATTTGAATGTCCATTGTCAACACGTTGCAGAATGCTTTACATTTTGTGTGATCATTTACTGTCCTCATTCCTACACAATGCCAACATGTTTGTCATCGTCTTCATGTACCTATCTATTGGGATTGATGTTTGCGTTTACTGACAGACACTTGTCAACATTTTCAGTATAGTGTCCGGCGCAATGCTGAATGCGACCTGTTATCTGTTGGATCTACTCTGTGAGCCAGAACCCCAGTGCAAGTGAGTTGTTTGTTACACCAGTGCCGGAGCACTCTGTAATATGTGCAAGAGCCTGTGACTTTGTTTGCTTGGCTAACTAAACGCATACCTACGGAAAATCATTCCAACGTTGCTTTGGTTTTCAGTGTTTTACTGTATTTTTAAAGCAATGTCTACACATATCAATCAAATATATCCCGCGCACCGACGGGGGGCGGATATCCGCCCCCCTGAGGTTTTCCCACTATCTACGATTTTCAGGTTTTCAGGAAACCGTGCGCGGGATATTCTAAATGCCTTAATATGGTCCATCCCATAACCATCTAACCGAATTCCCGGTATTATTTTGTTTCGCAAACCTTCTCCGTTGCTGGCAGTGGCACTGCTCGATTACAGCGCTGGACGTCGTCTACTTTTTGCTAGAAGCAAATGTCATCATCCGCGTCCATGAACTTTGGGCTTCTCACAACTATATTGCCTTGGCAAGTTCTTTGAGCACTCAATACTGGACTTGGGCTGCGAAAGCTAATGACAATTTGGGGAGCTTGATATTGCAATGACTATGATGTTAATGTCCAACATGGCAAACAGCTCGACTATTCACCATTGTCAACGCTTATGATAGCTAAATATCATTGTGCTTGGTGTACATTCACGTCTCGTTTCCTTGCTCCATTTGTACCTCACCGGTCTGCCGTCTCCACAGGCCTCGGCTGCAGCACAAGCCACATTCATCGGCCCAATCATCAGTTCTTCATCCTGCAAGTTTTAAGTCACTTCGTTGTGACCCGGACATCGTTATCTTTCAACGAATTCAAATGATTATTTCATTCATCATCGTCGATCAGACTCATCATGTAAAGACACTTCCAAAATGCTAGCCGCCATTTACGTTTGTGGAGGAAGGAAATATCAGGTTGTTATTAGCTGCGGGCTACTCAGTACCGACTGTACTACTGGCAGTAGTGTGCGAGCACCTAATACTTGTATTGTGATACCAAAGCTAAAACGGATGATAGCTTAGCGTATAGCGCCCTACCGCTTTCCACACACACACAAACAAAACTTGACTTTGGGCATTAGCACCATGGCAGGATAAACAGGCAGTTTCGCTGTTTTCACTGCTTTCATTGGCAGGTGTTAGTGCTCATTCCTGTTTCATGTGTTGTTAGAACAGCCCTTCACCATAGTCCTGTTTTCTCCTTTGCCGTTTTCCATGGACATCAGATGCGACATGCACCCCAACGATCGGTCAGGCACATCACCGTCAATCCGGTCGCCTGTCAATCAGTTCGTAATCACCGTCAGTCTTCGACATCGGCCAACACACTTATCCACATTATCGCCTTACTTTTGATCTTATCAATATGCAAGAAAGAGTGCAAAATGCAGTTGCAATATGGTATCAGTTGATGTGGTATCGCAATAACAACGCATTCTCACCTCACACCTGTTGTGCATACTTGATCACGAATCCTAGTTGTTATACACAGATTCACATGGTGAAGTTTTACTCCGTTGGCCTTTTCTTTCCATTCTTGTAGTCGATCAAGAGGGATTACAGTTGCACATGCGTCCTTACACATGCGTCCTTAGTATGTTAATTGATTGATATGTTGGACACATTGGTTCCTGTGACTCCAAGTAGTTCTGCATCGGTAGTGCTTCATTTTTGTTCTACCCAAAGATCGTTTCTACTTTCTAGTTTTGTCTTAGCTTGCAGCTGTATGCCATGAACATACACGGTACTGCGCATCTTTATCGTGATATTCCTGTAGTTTCGTCGCTTTCGCGGATGATTAGGACCATGAGCTCAGTTGCAGATGCGTCCAGCAGCCACCGAACATTTCTACACTTTAAATTCCTAGTCTCGGTTCTTATCCACATACCAACATGATTTGAACATTTCACACATTTAGTGGTGAACAGGTATCATCTACCACATTATATTTTCATGTAAAACACACTCCAGTCTGTGAAAAAGATAACCATTTGGAGCAACAATCATGCATTAGACAGTATAGTTGCCATAAATATTACGTTGTGCAGCGGGCAGGCCGGTGCACGAAATGACGAGTGTGAATGCAGGAATGCGTGTGAAAACTGCCTAGGTGTGGAGTGGCTGGTTTGTCTTCCGTTACATCGTAACGGGCTCTTGACGTAGTCTTATTTTTAGTAACACCAATCATCTTTCGAACTTGAATTAACGTAATTGAAATTTGGCTATCACATTTGGAGCCAACTTACTTGCTAATTGCGTCAAGGGCGGGCAGCGCGGTGCGTGGATGCCTTTTGGTAAATCTCACGTCCTAATATACAATCCTGCCCTTACCAAGCGTGCATCCATGTTTCCTCCATCCGGCTCCTCGTGCCGCTGCCTGGAATATTAGCCTACGGCTAATATACCAAGAGATGGAAAACTATTCGTTAGTATGGATCTGCCTCGTGGTTCAACTGGTGATGTTCAAAACAACTGTCCCGTGTGTCAGGTAGGTCTTACTTACTCACTTTCCGCTTCATCTTTTTTTCGGCCACGTCCAGCGTCGCAGAAATCTATTTACCGTGATGCACAGTACACGAATTTATCGAGAACATTATGAACAATGGCTTATTACTAGTGTCAGAGCGCCGAGAGACGCGAGTAATGACGTCACCGATGACTGTGACGCCAGCAAAAGGTGATTAAATACAAAATAATACAATCCGTTTTCGACTGCTGTGACGGCTGCTGTGACGTTTGCTCTGTGACGCCATTTTCAGGCTGGTGGAGTACATAAATCGGAAACCATAGATAGACACACGAGACACATTACTTACATTACAGGCTTTCCAGGTGTGTAGTGTATGCACATGGAGACATATGTGGTCACCTTGCATACCTGAGGGGAGGTTTTTTAAAGGGACCCTCCCACCTTCAAAAAAGTTTATGAATTGGCATGAAAGTGATGTCGCTCGGTTCAGAAAGAGCGAAAACGAATATCTACCAAATTTCACCGAAAAATATTCACCGGTTTTCAAGATATTAGACTTTTACTTTTGTTTACTTTTTGGGATCTCCGCTGTTTCTAGCGACTTTATTTTAGAAGTGCGGCGTTTGCGGCAGATGTTGCGCGCAAATAGCATATACCACCGCGTGCTACAAAACGTTTTAGTCAAACATTTAAAAATCGTTAGATATCTGCGCTGACGTCACACATTCAGAGGGGTATTCCTAAGCATTAGCCCCTCTGAATCAAAATGCTGCAATTTTGAAATTCAATATTTCCGATTTAAGGCATTTCTCGATGTTGTGAGTGCCGAAACCGGTAATTGTGAGCCAGGGACCCCATTTTGGCTATCTCAACTCAAATCTAATGTTAAGGTGGGAGGGTCCCTTTAATGATGAATACCACTCATGAATACTCGCCACTCAGAGCCCGAGTCTGAGTTTGGCTAAAAAAATCGCCCATGGAAAAATTCGCCCATCGCCCGCCCGCCGCGATGCGGGTGGTTTTGTTTTTGCGTCGTTTTCGGTATAAGGTTTATTTTCGGTTGGCGGCGGCCGGGCGCTTTTTTGCGGTTTTTGCGTTTGACGGCGGGAGGCCGTTTTTGCGGCGTTTTACGGTTGGCGGCGGGCGCGCGTGCGATGCGGGCGGTTTTGCGGCGGCGATGTTTGGCGGTGGGCGGGCGGGCGGTGCTTTTTTGTTTTTTGTTTTGCGGTGCCGATTTTTTTTTGCGTCGTTTGTTTGCAATTGGCGGCGTAGCACACCCACCCCGGTCTGCACGTGCAATGCTCTTCCTCTCGTTTGGCGGCGGGCGTTTTTGCTGCGTTCACAGAGGTGCTTGCTCAAACAACCTGCGTAACCGCAGGTTGTTTGAAAAGACAAACACTATTCGTTAGAATTGTGTTTTTCTATTGAAAAACAACCGGAGCGGTCGTTCTCCGGGCTATGTTTTGCAAGTCTGGCCGCGAATCAGTACAACTTGACAGGGGCCTAGACGAATCGCTCAATTTCCGTAAAAAGTTCAGGGTATGGGCTCCCGCAGGCGATCTACCTGATGGCACCGGTCGCTACTCGCTTAAAACCTCGTGGCACGTGGCACGTGCGATTCCATTTTCCCCATGTTAAGTCAATGGGGGTTTGGGGCACTTTTTGCGCCATCGGGAATGGCGGAAAAACGAGCCAAGAAGGAGGTGGTTTTCTTCCTAGCATTTTATGGCAAACACGTTCCGGTACACGCCAGTGTGCGCGGTATACACGTCAGAACTTCGTAACGTGTCTTTGCACGAGGTCAAAGTTGAACTTTTTTCGCTCCCCATGTTAAGTCAATGGGCGTTTTTGCAGAGACATTTACATTCGCTCATTGTACAAAATTATATGATACGATTTTGTTTAAACCTTCAGGACATGTTAAGAAAAGACCATAGAACATGTTGTTATGCTTCTTTAAGCTGTCAGAATTCGTTTGTTCTTTTTAAGCTCGTTTAAAGTTGAAAAATTTTAACATGGAAAGTCAATGGGAGCGTCTTTGGTGCTTAATAACTTTGTACGTTGAAGATATATTTAAGTGAAAAGTTGATAGGATATACAACTTTTGATGCTCCTTCCAATGATATATAGAGCGTTATTGCACGTTGTGCCGTTTTTGAGAAATTTAGTAA